CGAGATACATTGAATTACAATGAAAAAAAGATAATGAATACAATGAAATACATGAAAATACATTGAAATATATTAACAGGAAATCAAGTTGCTCAGCCCCAAACTCCGTCGTCTTTGTTCAAGAACAAACCCTAATTTCCGGCGAATCCGCCGTAGCAACGTTTGAAGGTACAACACGTGACACCTTTGAAATTTGAAGGTACAACATGCGACACATTTTTTCATTACCTGCTACCGCGTTGACTACCTTTCCCTTCGACACTTTTAACTGCTACCGCCATAGTGAATGTCGCCGTCGTCGATGGCAGAGAACCACCAATGTCTCCGTCAACGTTCACTTTCATTTCGGAACAAAGAAGGAATACGCTACTACGTGATCAACCAAAAGAGTGAGAAGAAAACTCCATTTCCCAAATCAGTTAGTTTTGGGAAAGTTCAAAGGTTGGTTAACTCCCTTTCCCAAAACTGTCAAAGTTCAAACGTTGGTTAACTCCCTTTCCCAAATCAGTTAGTTTTGGTTAGGGATTTGATTTGCTATCGCAAAACAATATTCAGTGCTAAGAATGATCGGAATGCAAAGAAAATAGTGTGTGCGAGAGAAATTTTGAGATTGAGCATCGTGTTTTCAGGGAATGGGGGAAGAGAATGGGATGTATCAAAGTAGAGAGAGAAAGAAAATAGTGTAACTGAATAACATATTTAGTGCCTTAGGGATAAGAGATAACCAAAATTAAATACTTTGCTATAAACCTTAAAAGGTATCTATAGAATATAATTTTTTTAAATAGTATTTATTTAAAATAAATAAGATGTTAACCTTTGCTATAGGAGGTAAAAATTCCTAATTTTATTGCCGTATTATCTTCATACAATACAAACCAATAATTTTCAAAAGCGGCACGAAATTTGGGCTCTCATTTTTGGGTTCATTTGTCGAAAATGGGCTTGGCCCAGAACCAATTGCCCGATGAAGAGAGAAGAGAAAAAGGTTTTCTGGTGGCTGAACTCGAATAGATATTTGATATCCGCCAATTTTATAACCGGCGAAAAACTCAGCGAACCTCTATACTTATACGCCTTCATTTCTGCTTTAGTTGAAGTGTAATCAGGTGACTTCTCCAGCTCATACTCTATTAACTTATTGTTACATGTTTTTGGTCTAGTTAAACGAAATCCCAGTGTTTGCTCATAAGCTGTTCGACGTAAGTCCTAAAAGAAAAACCACACCCTTTAGGTCTTAACACAACTATATTTGGGATGCTAAAAATATAAATTCCATTTTTAAGATTACTGATATCACGTATATAGCTTCTGAAGGAATTGTTGGGCGATAATGACCGCAGTTGAAATGTGTAGTAAATTTTAAAAAGCAGACTATGTATAAATAACATGGAAGTAACTCATTAATTCTAAACCCTGAATTTGCGTATGATTAATTAATTGGTACAAGGCAGAAAATAATCTAACCTTCGGCCCCCAGGCCTTAGTTTTCAAAGATTGAGGGACTTGTGACTTATGTCACACCTATATTTATTTTGGTTGTGTGGTAACTAGTGAGTTGGTGAACTAAGATACTTGACATTCTCGCTTTAATTCTCTTAAAGATTAAAGTGGCGAGTTTAATTCAAGGTTCGGTCGTTTGCTGGCATAGTTTACGGCCCAAGTCAAGTACTGCATCAATATTGAAGCAATTTGGAGGACTGCAGGTTTATCCAATGGGAAAAGCATCGAGGGACAAAAGAGTATGGATTTTATGCAAGGTGTTGTTCTCTTTTGCTTATAACCAGAAGCTTCATCCTTAACAGGTTTCAATTTTGTAGGATATTTACTATCGGAAAGCAAAGGAAGAAGGATGGCGTGCCCGTAGCGCCTTCAAGCTCCTTCAGATTGATGAGGAATTTAACATCTTTGAAGGTTCTCTTCTCAATAACTGGCTTGGAATTTTCTTTTCTTTTTTCCTGATTGATTCCACATGTAAGGAAAGAGCTTTACCAAGAAAAGAACGGCTTCTCATTATCAAACTGACTTTAATGAGTAAAAACTTTTATTACTGGTGATTTCTCTTTGATGGATCTGGAAAAGTTGGCAGGTCTTCGTTAATTCAGTACAATGCAGCTCCTGATGTAGGGCTTAAGCCCTTTTATGAAAATTAAACAACTTGTAGACAAACTAAATTTTTAGGTTCTGTAGCAATATTTTATATGGACTATGGAGAACAAGATATCAATTTCTATGTTTCCCATAATATGTTTGGTTAGAGCTTGAAATAATTGTATGTTGAATGAGTAGATGGATACTAGTACTCTCTTTCAGCAAAATGCTGCAGATTAGGAGTTCACCAATTTTATTTTACATTGCTTTGTTGGTCAGAATTGTTTGTTTGTAGAACTTTATTAATTGCCTTATCTATATGCAGGTGTGAAGCGAGTTNCCCGTGTGTTTCTCTTTTTACCCAAGGTTATCACTATTATGGTGTCCTATTTTGGTCAAACTTTTATTTTTTGCCATATGATTTGGCTTCTAAATTGAAAGTCTTTCCCTCTGTGCTTTGTTTAAGCTCTAACGGAACAGACCTACATAGAACATAAAAACTGAAAATATCTTGAGAATTAAAAAGAGGGAGTTCAGTCTAAGCCCATAAAGTACTATGTTTTAAACTGTACTTTTTGAACTTTACTAGGGAAATAAATGGAAAGAATTTTCCTTTTCTGATTTTTAGAGGTTCTCATTGGACAAATATCTAAGTGCTGTTGGATTTGGCATGATGTTTTATGGTGCACCATTATTTGGCTTGTTTCTGATAGTACCATTACTTTCCACAAAGAAAGATATGAAGAAGTAAAGAAATATAATTATGTGCTACATGTCTTTCTCCTTATTGTGTGCTCCAATTTCAAGTCCGTAAATGTTTTTATTCTCTTTATAGGTTTTAAGCCGGAAGTTATATCTCCCAGCAAAGTTGTCATCTGATACCAAGTATGTATACTTTCCTTTTTGTAGAATTGATTCTATGTCAATTGCTCTTTCATCTGTTCGTCTTTTTGATGTATAAATCATATTAGGAGCTCGAGATGGTTGTCCAGGTCAATGTTTCTTAATCCAGCAAATATCCTAGTCACTTAGCTAGTTAGTCTACTAAGAAAAAGTGAATAAATATGCCCATTGTAATGATATTATAAGTTGTCTTTTTTCAAATCTAATGATCGAGTGTTCCTGTGTAGTTGGTGCTTCTGTGACTTGTTTTGCCTTTTGCCTCATTTCTTCCTAATTCAATCTTTTGGAAAGAGAGTTAATCAGCATGCTATCATATTCATCATGTAATAATATGGAAGAACAATTAGTCATGAACCACAGCTTCAGCTTGCTGCATCCTCTTCTCCTAGATCCTAGTAACACATTGACCTTGCCCCACATCACTACGCGGAATGGGAAAAAGTTTGCTCTCCATTAATTTTTTCTAATGGTGATTGATTTAGGCTATTGACAAGTTTCCTACCTTAGAGGCTTGCCGCTGCAGCTATGATACGTCTGTAGGAGAGGAAATTTTAACATTCACTCTCCGGCCAACTTTAAAATTTGTAAAAGTCAAGTTGCTACCACTTATATTGTTTTTTGTTTTCCTGGCCATGTCACCAACATGTAACGTGAGGTGCTACTATCTTTCTTATTCATGTGATTTCCAGGGATGGCGATCTACCACTTATTGTGGCTATTGACTTACAGCCTATGGCTCCCATTGAAGGTGTTATTCAAGTACAGGGTGATATAACAAATGCTAAAACAGCTGAAGTGGTATGGATTCCTATGCTGTTTCATTTATTTAATTTGAAATTTTGATTTTTGAAGGCTGGTTTGTAACTTCCTAATTAGGTTTCGAGAATAACTAGCATTTTGGCACATTTGATGCATGTGCACTTTAATGAAACGAGATAATTATTATCTATAGCATGTAATACAAAAACTTATAAACTGTGAGGATTGATTGTGGATGAAAATTGATTGTTGATATTTCTCTGGGAAGATAAGCAATTTCAGTAGAAAAGAAGCATTTTGCAAATTCTAGTGTTTGTGTTTTTTCATAATGTCTTCCAGTTGAAGAACGAAATTCTAAAGTTGAAATGGATGAAGCGACATGTTGAAAAAATTGACTACCTAAAAGGAAGTTAACTTCCTGATCCATAGTAGAGCTATTTGATCAAAAATTAAAAATTAAAAAAAAAAGAGAGCATTTAGAATGGATGGAGTATCCGGCGGCTGAGAAAATTTAGTACATGGAACAGTTATATCACTCTACTTTCTTACTTTTAGCCATTATTATTTATTTTGTTTAATTTCTCTTGAAATATCTTAAAGAAATTATCTCCCTTAAGATTCAATGCAATTTTCATCTAATATATAATATCATAATTTTCCTTTTCTCAGATATCTTTTAAACTGTTATACTGTAGCAACCAATACACTTGGAGATAATAAGTTTCCGTGTTATAATTACTCATACAAGAAATTAAACAGTGTCATTAAGTTTAAGTTGAATCACAAAAAGTGGGTTTATTGGAATCTAAATTTCACCACACGAGAGATTGAGTTAGTAACTCTGGTTGATGTTTGAGGGCATGTTCAATAGAAAGGAAGAAAAAAACAATCATTTTATATTAGCAGTTTGAGGACATTGTTTTTCCCCATTTTATGTCGATTAGACACAATGCTCAAAGAAAACGAAGGTTAAGTTTGGAATGAAGGTGGCTAGTTTGGTGTCCAGCTGCATCTTTGAGAGTTCACGTGTAAGTTAGGAATAACTTTTATAGCACAAGAGGCATGATCCATGACTTCAGGCTGTGAAAACATAGAGTTTGCATTTGAGGCAAAAAATTAGGGATGGTGCTGTAATTTGCTCAACAAAAATCTTGTACATCCATGCTACTCAAAATGTTGTAATACATTGGGCTTCTTATCTTAGTGTGTTCATCTGTTCTCCTATTATCTTTGTTTTTACATTTCTCTTCTTTGTTTTTCTCATTCTTCAAGGAGTATATTAGGAGATATTAGTACTATGTTTATTTCCCTCATGCTTTGTGGTTAACAGTTTATATGCATCATTGTCAATATCTAACAGGTTATTAGACATTTTGACGGATGCAAGGCTGACATTGTTGTCTGTGATGGTGCACCTGATGGTAAGAAACTGCTTTCAACTGCCGTGATACATTACTTTGGTCTTTGCTGTATCTGATGAAACTAATCTGTGCTAATGTTAATCTTATGTTGCAGTAACGGGACTTCATGACATGGATGAATTTGTTCAGTCCCAGCTGATATTGGCGGTTAGTTTCTAAGAGAAAATAGTGGAATTGGTTTAGTAAATAATATTCACCTCAATATAGCAACACTGTAATAACTCTAGAAGGCACACTCATATAGATGTGTAGTTTTCATGGCTTTGCTGCATGCCTGCATCTATAAAATTTCCGGTGCCATTGTTGTCTAGGAACACTTGAAAGCCTAATTAAAAGTTCCTTTTTTTCTATTTAGGATGTCTGAAAGAAATGCCTTTTTGTAAATCTCCACCATAAATTGTGTTTTCTTTTGAGGAAGATAACTAATTCTTCTTCTATCTGGTGATGTTTTCTCACTATTTCGCTTTGCTTCGTATATAGATTACCAAAAAAAGAAAATAATTGTTTCTGTATGTCATCTTACTTCATTTTTGGTATCCTGCTTATAATGTTCAATTATTCCTTGAAAGATCAGTTATATGTGCTTAGAGAGATGTTTTTTCATGTAAGTCTGCCATGTTGTTCTCAGTCTCTTTTTGGAGATATCTCAGTTGTCACCTGGGTGGTTGAACTTGCAGGGCCTAACCATTGTCACTCACATACTAAAAGGAGGCGGAAAGTTCATAGCAAAAATTTTTCGAGGAAAAGACACAAGCCTTCTTTACTGTCAGGTTCATTGCACGTGTACTCGTTATTTTTGGATTTAGTTTCTTCACTCATTCAAGGTCTCGTTTAATCTTTAGGGGAGACCTCTGTTTCTTGTTTTCTGCTGTCGGATGTTCTACATTCTTGGGTTATCATGGTGGATTGCTTATGTTTTGCCTTCATAATGCAGCTAAAACTATTTTTCACAGAAGTGACTTTTGCTAAGCCAAAAAGCAGTCGGAATTCTAGCATAGGTGAGTAGCTAATGTTTTCTACCTTGTTTATGTGGCAAATTTTCCTGCTAGTGGAACCCATTCATTTGCGAGCTCTTGCTAATTAATAATGTTTTAATATTTCGTGAGAAGTTTTAAAATTTCAAGGATTTCAGTATTTGCTTTATGCACTTACAATCTAGAAAGGACCCCATGTTTGTTGTTTCACACAGAAATATTCATAATATTGATTGCTTCCTGTTTCTTAGGGTGATGGTACTATTTTTCTAGCAGTTGTTGTTGTTAATGTTCTATTGTTTCTTTTCATCTTCTTGAGCTGAGGATCTACTGGAAACAACCTCTCTACCCGGGGTGGGTAAGGTCTGCATACACACTACCCTCACCAGACCCCACCTATGGGATTATACTGAGTTGTTGTTCCTATTGCCTTATGATATTTATGCAGAGTTAGTTTGTATATCGGGCTTCAACTTTGGTTATTTCTCTGAATTAGCGGTAGGTGTTTTAGGATTAGTGGAGTCTATCAGGTATATCAAATGCGAATTGGAAATTGTATGAAGGAAAATATTTTTCAATTTTTCCATGTTTAGTTGGCTTAAATATTTTGGACGATATTTTCCCTATAAACTCATTTTCCTCCAATAGGGGGAAAATGACTTGCCAAGAGGAGGGAAATTCATTTTCCAAAATTATTTTTCAACTTTCCTCACCCCAAGTCTCTCCCACATCCACACCTTTGCCAACCCGGCCCACAAACCCCTGACTTACCACCCTGCACCACGACCTTAGCCCAACCACCCCGAGACAAAATGGGTGAGGTCGAGGTCGAGGTTCGGGATTGGGCCTAAGGTCCGGGTCGGGGTTCAGGGTCGAGATGGAGGTTGGAGTTTGGGGTGGGGGCCCGGGGTCGTACCCTAAACCCTCAGCCCCAACCCCCGACCACTACCTGACCTCAAATTCCGAACCTCAAACCCGAACCCAATCTCGACCTCGTAAACTGATCCCGACCTCGATACTGATCCCAACCTTATCACCAATCAGATCGCGAACTCCCGAACCCTGAACCCATCCCAAACCCCGACACTACCCCATCCCCTACCCCGACTTGGATCCCCGACCTGTAACTCCATCGCCTCGCTCCTCCCCCCGCTCTCATCCGTGTCGTCTTCCATAGTGTTTGCCTAGATTATATATTTTTCATAACATATTTTCTACTAACTAACCAAATACAAGAAAAGAAAGATAAGTAAGAAAACTACTACTACTATTTTTCAAGAAAATATTTTCCGTGGAAAACATGTTCCTTCGTATCAAACACACCCTTGTACTTGTATATTTCTGGGTGTGGAAGATATCTTAAAGCAACACTAGAATTGCTATGCACATAAATCTAATACTAGCTTTACCTTGTACAGAGGCATTTGCAGTTTGCGAGAATTACTCTCCACCTGAAGGATTTAATGAGAAAGATCTTCATCGCCTTCTTGAAAAGATTGGAAGTCCATCTGGCACAGAGGACCTAGGTAATTTCCATGTGCAGATGATGCTTCTCTAAATAGTCTTTTACTTTACACTAACTTCAAAATTTTGCCACCTTATGATTTGAGGCAAGTGACATGAATCTTAAATCTGCCACTATATCTTTTTCTTCGTGGTGGAACATAGTTTCTAGTTGCTCTTTTTATGTTGGAAGTAATGTGGCTTCCATTTCTTAAATTCAGATTATATTTAATTCCGACTATATTTGTATTTTGCATCATCTTTCAAGCATTTGTTACCTGACAGATTGCAGTAGTGCATGGCTGGAAGGTCCTAATAAGGTGTATATTCCATTTCTGGCTTGTGGAGACCTTAGCGGGTACGATTCAGACCGTTCATATCCACTTCCTAAAGCTGCAGATGGAACCTATCAGTGTTTAGATCCTGTACAACCTCCAATTGCACCGCCATATAAACGAGCTCTTGAAATGAAGAAAGCGTCGAATCAAGGAATCCAAAACCTAGACAAGCTTTCTCTTAGCTCCTAATCTTACCATCCAGAATTATTCCATTCTGTGACATTGGAAAGTCGCTTATACGTCACCAAATGTAAGGACTTTTTATTGTTAACTGCACTTGCAATTAATGAATTTAATGTGTTTTGTTAAGACTTTAGACAGTTCAGAACCAAATGAGAGTCATCTACTTCTGCCCCCGGCCTTTGGTTCACTAGGCAAAGGTAGTACAGCATGGAATGTGCGGTAGGCATACGTCACGAGATTTTATCATCTTGTGAACTTATATTTAAGTGGAGAACGGTAGGGGAGCAAATCCATTATCCACCAAGTTTCAAGTTCAGAGCAACTGATTTATCAGTTATAAAAAAAGAATGACAGTAATATACTTGTGTAATAACGAATTTATTTGTACTTAGATGACTAAATCTTCAATTATCACCAGTTACAGCACATTGCTTGAGACTTCCTGTGATAGTAGTTCTTTAGATGTATGAAATGATTTTCTAGATTCCAGCTAATGATGCTAATGACGTAAGTCTTTTACCAGCCATTAATGGGAAAAATCGTTGTTCACAGGTGTTGTATTCCTAAAGTTTCTATTTTTGTCGTAACTTCGTTTGTTTTCTTTAAGACTGGGTTGTGTTCCATGTGAATTTGAGTGTGCAACAAGTATTTCTCTCTTTTCCAGTCTACCGACTTAGGCGTTACACTATACGATAGGAGTAGCAGACTTTATTTACTTTCAAAGTACTTGCAATTTTCAGTTAAATTCCAGTAAGCTAGTCAACAGTCAAATCGATATAGAGCTAACGGGTCAATTGAAATTGCCAAAATTCAGCTGAAACCGAGCAGAAAATGGCAGCAATTTCCTCCTCAATTGCATCTCTTCTTCAACCTTTGACACTCCTAAAAACCCATGAGCTACTTTCTGCTCCGGGATATCAGGGGCATTTGGATCTATACCCACTTTTTGGGTCACGTTTTAACTTGTGCCCGCTTTACAAAAAAAATTGCAAGTGTACCCACTTTTTCGCGTAACTTCAGCATACGAGGCTGAAGTAGCAAAGACAATCACGCAAAACTTCAGCATTCTAATAGACAGGACTGAAGTAGCAAGTGTGCTGAAGTTTTTGTTTGTAATTGCTGAACTTAAGCATAGTAGCTGAAGTTTTTGTTTGTAATTGCTGAAGTTTTTGTTTTTTAACTAGCGAACTTCAGCTCTAGAGCTGAAGTTTTTGTTTTGTAACTGGCGAACTTCAGCTCTAGAGCTGAAGTTTTTGTTTGTAACAGGCGAACTTCAGCTCTAGAGCTCTAGGGGGCATGTTGTACCCACACGAAGTAACTTAAAGCAACATTAACAGGAACCAAGAAACATCAATATATTACCAATCCAATCGACAACTGAAATCTCCAATTTTCGCCAGACCCAATTCACCAAACTCTTATCCCATTTTCACATCAAAATTGTGCATAAGATTCAAGTTGCAAAATCAAGATAGAACCTTTACAGCTGAGGGTGTCGGCGAAAAGGAAAAAATGATTGAAAGGAGAAATAAGAAGAAGTAGATAGGGGTGAACCTTACTTCTGGAAAAAGAAAAGATAAAACTTTGAGGAGGAGAAGGAGGAGGAGAAAGGGGGCTGAAGTTGTTTAAAAAGTGGGTACAAGTTAAAACTTTTAAAAAAAAAATGGGTATAGGTTAAATGAGGGCGACCAAATAGGGCGCCTCGTGCAATTTTTACGGGATACCACCATATCAACGTTTATTTGCAAAATATATTTACACAATAAGGCATATAAGATAATTTAAAAGAAAATATGTGGGGGGAAATTCAAAAATAGCCAAATTTACAAGTGGTAATTGAAAAATAGCCACAGTTTCAAAAGTAATCAAAATTTAGCCACTTTTCATGTAAAGATAAATCTGAACGAAAAAATTGTTCAAAATCTTAAAAATATTCCAGCATAATATACTAGAGTTCGAATTTTTAATATGTGAATTTCCAGCATAATATACTGGACTTCAAGCATAATATAGTGGAAGTTCATACACAAGTGCTCCAATCTCCAGTACATTATGCTGGAACTTTCCGTGTGCTGGAGTTCCACCATAATATGCTGGATGTTCATACACAGGTGCACCAATCTCCAGTATATTATGCTGGAACTTTTCGTGTTACAGTAAAATAGTAGCTATTTTTTCATGACTTTGCAAACACTGGCTATTTTTTAATTACCAACCTGAAAATTGGCTAGCCCGTACTATTTTCACAAATATGTTTTGTCCATATACAATGTAAAAAAATTTTATATTATCGGTTAAGTTGACCTATAATAACATATAATTCCCGTAAAACCTAATATGATAACCAAAAAATAAAATAATAACATGTTGTTATATACACTGATAATATAATTACTTTTTGTACTATCATTATACACAAATTAAACTCTCATTTTAAATGAGAATTTAAATTTTGTGCTTTGTTAGTATATAAATTTTTTGTTGTTATCAAATTAAGCTGATCTACAATAAGATACTCCGGATGTAATTTTCATGGCAGCTTATACTTAAATTACATTGATGATAAGCTGTAATTTTTACATCATCAATCTCAGTTTATACACCTTAAATCTTTATAAATGAGTGTATAATAGGCAATAATTGGTAACATGTTAAAATTAGTATGTACTCCGTTCCAATATATGGGTACAGGGTTTAATAAAAGAAATTTTGAAAACTCGCGATCTAAAACAAACGGGAAATATTTATTGGCTATAAATTATCTTATTAGAGTTAAAATAAGAAATTAAAGTTAACTTGTTTTTAAATATAACAATATATCATTCTTTTTGTGGGACATAATATCACGTAAATTGATACAAAGGAAATAATCGATTTGCTCTCACAAATTAGATTACATAATATTATCAACAGAAGTTACACTATCTGTAATTCTGTATAAGTATATAAACTTAAATCCAATAAAAAAAACTGACCGCTACCCTCTTTCTAAGAACAAGTTAGGTATGAAAGAAAGAAATAGAGTTACATTCACAGGCCAGGACAATGTTGACATTCAAAAAGCCACTGCCCAAAACAACTTTTAGTATATATTTCAAAAATCTAATTACTTAATTAACTTTAACTTTAATCGATGTTCTCTATCGAATTAACTCTATTTCTTTTCATTATTATTTATACAATATATCATTCAAATAAACTTTTTAAAGGTGCCAATAACTTGGACGGATAAGGTAACATCTTGGTAAAAACTAGAAGAATATTCTTTTGGCATTACATGAGTTAGACAAATCAAAATTCATAAATCTTGTCTGCCGGCCACTAACTAATGAAAATTTATTGGTGATTGCCATCGATCTGCATTCAAGTTTATGGGAAAATTACCATTTAATTTAGGTTATTAATTAATGTTTATTATATATAATTATATTTTATTATCGATTAGATGACAATAAAATGTAAATTTATTCCATCAATTCACTTTTATATGTTCATTATACTAAAATTACATTTTCATTTTTACTTGTCCATTTTAACAAATCAAGAGAAAGATAATTTTTTTTGTTTCACTCTTATCATTAATTACACATTCCTTAAATCATTTCCCAAGACTTCTTAAAATGCTAGCATTATTATGAGTTGGAGGGAAAAAAAATTACATGGAACAACTGAAGAGTTTGTAGTTCCTGGAAGAGAAAAAAGTGTATGTGCAGACATGTTAAGTCTCTTTATGGTCTAAAATAAGCACCCAAATAATATTAGAATAGATGAAGTTAGAATAGATGAAGGTCCAACTTAGTCTTGTTTTTTCTTTGTTATGTACAGGCCCATTTATTTATTTGTTGTAACATCTGGGATAGGCCCACATACAAACAATTAGTGGACTGTAATAAGAGATAGATTTTTTACACAGAAGAGAAATAAAAGAAAAGGTCTTTCTATGCATCGTTCATCTCCTTCGAACGTTCTAGATCTTAGCTTTCACTTCGTCTGATTCCTTCTGTTTTCTTCAATTTTCTTTGTTTCTAACATGGTATCAGAGCAAACCTGGTTGATTCCGGGAGGATCTGCGGTTTTGTTGTTCGATTTTCTGGTCTAGAACGATTTTTACTTGCACCATCGATTTCGGCATTTTTGATGAATTTTTTGCTTGTCGAAGCTGGGATTCTCGGTATTGGTGTCGATTTCGTCCTCAATTGTGCTGGTGATGCAAAGTTCCTTTGAAATTTCAAGTTCCGAGACAGCAACTCAATTTTAGGGTTTTTTTTTGCACAACCGGTGACATTTCTTCTCTAATTTTGCACAATTTGATACATATTTTGTGTGATTGATGTTTTTCTTATGATATTTTCATAATCATGGCTATTGATTCTCAAACATCTCTTATACCTGACCTTCCGAATGCAAATTCTAATCCTAACCTCGATCTCTTTCATCCCTTATACCTTCACCCTTCTGATACTCCGGGTACAGTGTTAGTTTCTGTTCCATTTGCTGGGATAGGATATGGAGAGTGGGAAGAGAGTATGATTATCTCACTTTCAGCAAAAACAAACTCCAAGTTATCAATGGTTCCATACCTAAACCTGTCCCGACCTCAATACTCTATCCCCATTGGGAGAGATGCAATAACATGGTTAAAGCCTGGATTATGAACGCATTATCTAAAGACATATCCAAGACTATACTGTATTATAAAAGTGTTAAGGAGGCTTGGGATAATCTAGAGGAGAGGTATGGTGTTGCAAATACATCTCAATACTATAGCCTTCAAAGAGCCATAACAGCCACTACACAGGGATCTTCTGATATAGCTATGTATTTTACAAAGTTGAAGGGGTATTGGGATGAAATTGGCAACTGCAATTTTGGTAGACCTTGCACTTGTAGTGCCTTGCCTGAGTTTATCGAGGGACAACAACTTGTTCAATTCTTATCTGGTTTGAATAAGACATACACTACTGTACGAAGTAACATTCTGATGATGAGTCATGTACCATCAGTTGCAAAGGCATACTCCATTCTAATTAGGGATGAAAAACAAAGAGAGATCAAACCTGATTCCCCTGTGTTCTCTTCTGATTCAGCCTCATTCCTAGCCAATTCTACTACTCCTCAGAATAGTCCCTCTCAAGTTAACAACTCCAGAAATTATTCTCAAAGGGTGAACTTTGATCCCAAGAAATCTATGATGTTCTGCAAGTACTGTAAGAAGTCCGGGCATACTGTGGACAAATGTTACAAGCTTCATGGATTCCCCTCAGATTTTAAGTTCACTAAGAATAAAAGCGTTGCAGCTTCTGTACATGTGGACTCCACTCCTCATATTTTTGATCCTCAACAAGCTGTTGATGCTCCACATGGCTTCTCAAAGGAATAATATGTTCATATTCTGTCACTTTTTCAGCAGGCCCAACTCTCATCTTCTGCTCCAACATCATCATCATCTACTACTTATGCCAATTTTGCAGGTTTGGTAAACAACACTGTTTTTAATTCTGATGGTTCATTTGCATCTAGTGCTTCTAAAGTAGATTCATTTTCTTGGATTTTGGATTCCGGGGCTACTAGTCACATGACCCCTCACAAACAACTACTTCATAATTTACAACCTTTAGTCACACCTTCTCTTATTACATTACCAAATGGATACAAAGTTAAAGTCACCTCTATAGGATGTCTGTCACTGTCTTCTACTATCACCCTGACTAATGTACTTTTGATACCTTCTTTTCAATTCAATTTAATCTCTATACATCAACTTCTTACTCAACTCAGTTGTTATGCTATTCTCACTACTATTTCCTTGTTCCTATAGGCCCTTCTCTGAAGAGGCCATTGGAAATTGGTAGAGTTGAGCATGACTTATACATTCTGCATATGGGTTCCAGCAAGTCTGATTTTGTTTCTATTTTTTATTCTGATGTAAACTCTAGTGATTGTTCTTTTCTTTCAGTCATCAGTCCTGTCCCATCTTCCCATGCTATTGATAGTTCAGTGTTTCCTGCTTCTTGTACTTCTACTGTTATTAATAAAAATGATGTTTTGTGGCATCAAAGAATGAGACATATTCCCTTTGTTAAAATGATATCTATCTCACATCTGTCTTGTAAATTTTCCCCTAAACAATCTTTTGTTTGCCCAATTTGCCCCATGGCTAGACAACAGAGGAATCCCTTTCCTGCTAGCACTACTCATTCTTTAAGACCTTTTAAACTTGTTCATATTGACCTTTGGGGCCCATATTATACTGCCACCTACAATGGTTTCAGATATTTTCTGACCATTGTAGATGACTATAGTAGGGTCAACTGGACAAATCTTCTTTCTTGCAAGGGCAATGCCTTTTCCATCATTAAGGCATTTGTATCCATGGTTTCCACCCATTATAGTAGTAGTGTTCAAACCATTAGATCAGACAATGCTTTTGAACTTGGATCTTGTTCCTCTTATGTTGAATTTCTTAGTTCATTGGGTATCTCTCATCAGACCACTTGCTCTCATACTCCACAACAGAATGGGATTGTGGAGAGAAAACACAAACATCTATTAGAAACTGCTAGAGCCCTCTTGTTCCAGTCCAAATTGCCTACCAAGTATTGGAGTGAATGTATACTCACAGCTACATATCTAGTTAATAGATTCCCTTCCACTGTTATTTCCAACAAAACTCCTTATGAGGTCTTGAATGGTCAACCACCCTCTTATGATCATTTAAGATCTTTTGAATGTTTAGCCTATGCTTTTGTTCCTATACCTCATAGAGACAAACTCCAGTCCAGAGTCATCCCTTGTATTTTCTTGGGTTATCCCTTTGGTAAGAAAGGATACAAACTCTTCCATTTACACAATAAGTCTATTCTATATTCTAGAGATGTTTCCTTTGTTGAACACATTTTTCCTTCTACATCTTTCCCTTCTACTTTCTTTCCTTCTCTTTCTGATACAAGTCTTTCTTATTCTGATCTCCTCATTACTCCTTCTTCTCCTCCTCACTCTCCTCCTACCTCAACTCCATTACCTTCTAGCTCTTCTGTTTCACCCTTTCCTCCTCCACTTAGAAGGTCCTCTAGACCACACAACGAAGATCTCTTCACCAAATCCTTATCTGGTGTTCAACACAACAATTTGCTTTGCAAGCTGGGAGTTCTGTCACCCCTCAGCTTGAGGGGGGGGGGGTGTCAGAATAGATGAAGGCCCAACTTAGTCTTGTTTTTTCTTTGTTATGTACAGGTTCATTTATTTATTTGTTGTAACATCTGGGATAGGCCCAGCTATAAACAGTTAGTGGACTGTAATAAGAGATAAATTTTTTACATAGAAGAGAAATGAAAGAAAAGGTCTTTCTCTGCATCGTCCATCTCCTTCGAACGTTCTAGATCTTAGCTTTTACTTCGTCCGATTTCTTCTTTTTTTCTTCAATTTCCTTTGTTTCTAACAAATAATGTATGAAATTTGATATATTTCATTTATTATTTCTTAAAGAATATGTGATCTATTGGGCACAAGTAAAAGTAAAGGGAGGGAGTACTTTACAATATAAGTGCATAGAATTAAACTCAAATAAATAACAAGTACAACTGGAAGAAACAGTTTACATAGAAAAGGAACACTTGAAAAAAGAAAGGATATATAAAAGTAAATACACCCAAAATCTTCAAATTAAAGCCGGGGGTTACAATATGATCCGAAATTTTCTGCTTCTATGCTACTCTAGCTAATTTACCAATTCCAAAAGTACTGAAATCTTTTGTTGTGTGAAACTTAATTCCTACATAATAAACAACTAAAATGTCTAAATATTTTGTCTTCCTCAATTCATCTACATAATTACAGTAACATAAAAACTTTTCCTTTTGAAGAAGAAAAACAAAACTAATAAGAAAAAATAAAATATCCCTCCTTGTTAGCTTGCTCACATTGTCGGTTCCAAATTCGGATAAAGGAGGAGGGTTGCGATAGAATAACAGCCACAGGAAAACTTGCAAAATCAATGAAGAGTCCTCATGAGCTTAAACAGAGCCATTCATATAGCCGATCCCAACTTGTTTGAGACTATTATTGTCGTTTAGGAGAAAAATTAAAATAAAACTACTGGCAAGTAGTGCTGGAAACAGAACTGGACCTGTGTAAACAAGAAGAAGAAGAATTCAAGAACTCAATGCAATCTTCAATAGCTTCAGCTCTTTGAGAATCATGAATTGTTTCTGCATAAGAACGTGATCTTGCTAAGCTTGCTGATGATACTTTACGTGAAGACCTTTTTCTGTTGGAATTCGAAAGAAAATTTAGAGCACTAGCCACTTTAGTTCCAATATTCTTTAGAAAACTAGCCACAGAAAATTCAGAAGAAGAAGAGCTTTTTTGAAGCCTAGAATTCCAATTAGATGATGAAGATGGCTTCTTTTTAACGTAAAAATTATTTTGGTCATAGAAATGATCGGGGCTAAAACTGACTCTTCTACTCATTTTTTTTCTTTTAATTTGTGTGTTATTGGAAGAGAGGGAGAGTTTTGTGACATGAAGAAGAGAGGCAGTTGGGAAAATGATGAGAGGTATTTATTGAGAGTTGAAGAGAAAGAAAAAGATACTACTACTCAATATATGGCCCCATTTATTTTTCAGTTTTTATTGTGGTAATTAATAAAGAAAAGAAGAAGATTCAAACCTACTTGACCTATTTATTGTAATAAGACCAGAGAAAAACTTTAACTGATATTCTGCAACTTTTCATGGCCCATGTTCATATCAGTTTGACTATGGACCAAATTAGTCTTTATCTCATTTATTTACTCTCATTATTTCATGACCTAGACTAATTAAGCTATTGATCATGCATTCCCATATAAAATTTTGCAAAGTATTGTTGCAACTACTTCTTTGTGATAAAATGGGTGTGAATTTACAAATATATATATATATATAGTTTCAGTCGAAAATAGTGATCTTGCTAACACATACTCTAAAGAGAGATGGTCCTTGGAGTCAAAAAGAAATAATTGATGGTCTACTTGGTATTTTGTAATACATAACACGTCTTAGTTGTTGAATCTATATCATTTTTAAGTTTAATATAAAAATGAAAGGTAACAAGTGAAAATTGAAAGGTGGAAAAGAAAACATGTACAAGAAACTAAACGATACATTAGACTTTGGATAAGGGACAAAATGACTTTGATTTGTTCAAGATTGATGAAACGTGCATGGAGGGCAATCATGAGGTCAGTATAGGAGATATATATATATATATATCACAATTACTTTTACAAAAGTTGAAGAGAAATCATTTTCGAATAATTAATCATCTTCATGTACCATTTTTATTTTCTTGTAATGAAGAACTTCTACCGTGGGCGAATTGACCCTTTTCGCCAAACTAAATAGTTTATGTATGTATTTTTTGAAATTCGTCTAATATTATCAGTTGACACACATATTTTATGAAGACTGAATAATAGACTTAATTGAATACTAAATTATTTATCAAAAAATTAAAGATCAAATATGACTTACTTTTTTTTCTCTCCTTTTCTTTAGTGATACATCCATACTCTAGAAATCTTATCCACCTTACCTTTGCCACAACCTATGATCACAATTTGGCTCCTTAAATCTTAGTTTCTAATTTATCAATGTAATTAAATAAGGAATTTGCCGAACCGAGAAAAGATAAAATTTGGTCAAGAAAGGAGAAGAAAGTGTGGTGGGGATGGCGGGCCCCTACTAGGAATGGGATAAAGTGAAATAATGTACATTTTGGGTTTTAGCTTAGGTGGAAAAGAGAAAACATGAAAGGAATTCATAAATTTTACAAAATTCAAAGTATAGAAGATAAACTAGTATTTTTAAATTTTAGATTCGTCTACTAACTTGAACTAGTTGATCAATATTTTTTAATGGTGCATATAACATAGTCAGGTAATTTGAATATTGACATTGGTAAATGAATGTTTAGTTGAAAAGAGTATTATACCACTTTGTATTCTCATACTTGTAATTGTACACTTTTCAAGTTGGAAATTGGAAATTAATTTCCTTTTCTCTTTTGGGCATAAGGAAATAAATCAGATAAATAAACCTAACATAAAGGAGTGTTAGAAAACAAAAATCGGATACCCTTGTCGTCAGCTTTAACTTTAAGAGGTGTTCATCGATATCCCATGCTTGGACCTTTGCCCAATGGCCTACCTCTCCCTTCTCTCTTTTGCTTGCCATTTCACTCTTCATTTTAGTTTAACTTTTATTGACCCATAGTGCAACAAAATTTTTAATTGATATACTCCCTCCATCCATTTTAATTAATTTTTTAACGATTTTCACATAATTCATCTTTTAGTATTCATTAACAATAAAATGGATCGTATAACCCTAATTTATTCATTAAAAATATAACAAATACTCCTAGATTTTTTATTTCAAGGACAACTATAATAAAAAAAAATTTAAATTTCTTTTTGATATTTGAAAAATCAAATATTGCAGACCACAAAAAAGGTCAAAAAAATCAATTAAAGTGAACCGGAGCGAGTATTGTTTTTAGCTTGTTTTAAAAAATTATTTTTAAAAATAATAATATAATTTTAAATTTTTATTTTACCCTTAATATAACAATTTATCGTCACACAAATATATATATATATATATATATATATATATATATATATATTAAAAAATAAAATAAATTACTTGTTACAGCAATTGAATTTAAACTAAAGATAAAAAAATCATCTGCTTTTCAATTCTTACTGTTTGAGGTATTCTAATTTCTAAGAATGGCCCTCTATGTGTCATGTGAGTGTGAAATTGAGAAGAGACAAAGACTGAGAAGAAAAAGAGGAGAATCTGTTTTGAAATGTGGTGGGGGTACTGTGGGGGCATGGCGTGGATATTTGGGAATCACTCTTATTTATCTTTACCTTCTTTGACTAAAAAGAATACTCCTGTATTAAAGCACACCTTTGGCCCTCTCTTGTTTTACCTCCCAACAAAGGGCAGACAATTAAAGGGTGTTTTGGTAAGTTGATAAAATAAAATGGGGAAGATCATCATATTATATAAGAGTGTTCTCATTTAAGAAGCTTTTATAAAACTCATATATAGATTTAATCTTTGACTTTACAACGATCTCCTCGTCTTTCCCTAAGAATGGAATAACAATAATATCAACGGGATATATATATATATATATATATATATATATATATATATATATATATATTACTACTATATTAGCAATAGTGGTACTACAAAGTACAACAACAATAAACCTAGTATATTCTCATAAATGAGGTCTGAGGAGGGTAGTGTGTATGCAGATCTTACCCCGACTTATAGAGATAGAAAAGTTGTTTCCGATAAATCCTTGGCTCAGGGAACAATGGAGATAAAGCAACAAGTATGGCAGGATACTATTCACAAATGACCAAAAAAGAAAAAATCTACCGAAAAAACCAACCGAAGTCGGTCGGTATTTTTAATTATGTAATTAAAAAATATACCGTTTGGGAATCGGACCAGGGTCTATACTATGGCAGGATACTATTTTACCACTAGACCATTGGTACATATTAATTTAAGACTTTCTTGTATTTTATTTATACTCTTTAATTGCATTTTCGAGCGAAAATAACCGACCGAAATCGTTCGAGTTTATTAAGAATATAAAATTACCGACCGAAGTCGGTTGGTTTTTAAAATGACCGACTGAAATAACCGATCAACTTCGGTCGATTTTTTGAATATTAATTTTAATTTATTTTATATGAAAATCGACCAAAGTTGGTTTCTTAAAAAAATAAATTTCGTGGGACAACAAAATAGTTTCCTGCATTTTTGCTCCAAAAAAATCGGAGGAAGTTGGTCGGTTTTGTAAAAAAAAATTAAAAATAAAATATTTTGAAAACCGACTGTCTTCGGTTGATTTTTTGACCAACCGGATTTGGTGGTCGGCCGCGGTCGGTTTTGGCCGAATTTCTAGTAGTGGCAATGGACAACCTCTCACACCTTCTGACCGGAGCATTTATGTCTCTCCTCTTCACATGCTCGAACCATCTCAGCCTCGATTCCTGTAATTTGTCCTCCACAAATTTCACTCCTACCTTGTCCCTAATAACTTCATTCATAATCATGTCCTACCTGGTATGTCCACACATCCATCTCAACATTCTCATCTCAGCTGCGTTCATGGTTTGGACATGAGACTTCTTAACAGGCTAGCACTCAGCCCCATACAATATAGTTGGTCTAACCACCACTCTGTAAAACTTGCCCTTATGTCTAGGTGACACATTCTTATTACACAAAACCCCCGAGGCGAGCCTCCATCTCATCCACCCAGCTCCAATACGATGAGTAACATCCTCGTCAATCTCCTTGTTTCCTTGAATAATAGACCCAAGATACTTAAAACTATCTTTTTTGGGGACGACTTGAGTATCAATCTTCACTTCCACTCCTCCTTCATGCGTCTCATCTCTGAACTAGCACTCCAAGTACTTAGTTTTTGACCTACTCAAATTGAAATCCTTAGACTCCAATGTCTGTCTCGAAACTTCCTACCTAACGTTAACTCTGTCTTGCGTCTCGTCAATCGGGATTATGTCATCCGCGAATAGCATACACCATGTGTTACATCTTGCGTTTTCGTATGTTAACTTTCGTTTTCAGTTAACCGACGTAGACTCCGGGATGAGATCATCTTGACGTTAACGTACGTACGCTATTTATAACAAGCGATAAATAAGTGTCATGAAGGATAAAGGGTACACGAACTAAAGAAAACGAGTTTCGTTGAAAGTGACCAATTTGGGATAAAATACGGGTCGAGCAATAATACCCGATAATTATAAACTAGTACCATGCAAGGTACCATATGGCCACGGTAGTATAATGTGTAAAGTATATATAAAGTATATTAAAAATAAGTATAATTTTAAGTAATTTGAGGTAATTTTTAAATTATGCGAGTGATTGATTAATTACTGGATAACGGAACATTACCTAATTAACTAATAAGTGGATAAAAATTAACAAAAATACCACTCCAAAAACGTTGCACAAATGTCACAAGGCTAAGAATGACACATAAGTCATTTAATAAGACTTTAATAAGTCTTATCTTCATTCATTCTTATGCTAAGATACATGAAAGATCAGAAAACATTTCAAATCACTAAAACAAACTTTTCCGTCTTAGTTTGAGAGGTTAGAAGACTAACTTTGATAAAGGAAAAACGTTAGAAGTCAAGAGCTTCTTTCCAAGCATTTCGTTCAAATTAAAAAAAACGCAGAAGCTTCATTCTCTCGTTACCAGTGGCGAAGCCAGGAATTTTTTTAAGGGTGATCAAATTTGAACGAAATAAAAAAAATTCCGACGAAGGGTGTTCGATATATGTTATATACCTCTAAAACTTATTATTTTACCTATATATACAATGTAAATTTTCGACGAAGGGTGGTAAATTAACCAC